CAACCCACGATTTTTACGTGGTTTCCAGTATTGGGAGAATGAGGATCCCAATACTGACTACTCCACGGTCAGAGAATCACGATTGTGTGATCTCCGACGATTCACTATGATTTTGCGTTGAAGTTCGTCGTTACAAGCTATCTACCCAAGAACCCTTTGATCAATCTCAACCCGATTGATCAAACACTCTCTTCTCAAACCCGAATTGCTTCCCTAGCAACTCCAAACCAGTGTTTCCCCAACACTAACCCTCAAAGCAATTCTCCCCGAACCCTTTGAGAAAATCCCCTTTCCTATCAACCTTGCTACTCTCACAAAATCCCCTTTTGTCTTAGTTAGCTTTGTTGATCTCTTGAAAGGTTAATTTTGTTCTTCCTTCAAATCGCCTTTTATAGGCTGCAAAGTAGCTGTTGAGAATTTGAATTCCCTTGAAATCTTCAAGCATGGCAAGTTCTTATTCTTTCTTCTTTTGACCCGAAAACTTGCCTTAACTGTTTTTGGGCAGCCACTGATTTTTCACCTTGATTTGATTCTTGTCTTGGCCATCAAGAAGTTCTGCCATTGTCAAGTTGATGCCAACACTCAAGAGGTTTGGAGCAGGAGCAAGAAAATAACACGCTGACGATGTTACAAGAGGCGGTAATGCAATAAAATCAAGCGGCGGCCTGACCCTTCTGCTCCATGGCGGAATTCCACTTGTAAAATCTTCAAATCTTTTTACCAACCATCTTCCGGGGCAACTCCTTTTTCATTACCTCCCTTGGCTCTACGAATTCCTCATGTTTTTGCATGCCGAATACTTTATGCTTTGGTTTGTTGTGATTTGATTTTCCTATTTCACATACACTTTGTGCAGATCTAATAAGTCATCATCTTTACCAAATGATCTATGCGGAGACAATATCGGGTTTCAAAACCAAGTCAGGAATTTGGTTAGGGGAAATTCCCTGTGTCGTTGGCGACATAGATCAGAGTACAAGTCATGTTGTTTAGGGTGAAAGTGGTAGCGGAAGGGATTGTTGATGTCATAACAATTATACCAATACTTGTGGTTTACCTAACTAGTAGTGTTTTATAGTAAATCAAGAGCTTATGTTCTTGCTTTCAGCTTTCTTCCTATGATATTAGTAGTAATTCCATTAGTAGTTTTATCCCCTTTCTAATTCAAGTAGTAACTCTATGCAATAGATTTTTGTGTAGCGGTAACCTCACTGCTACCTAGTTATTATTCTTATCGAAAACACTATTACTATGTCTAAAATTGGGTAATACAATAAATCAACCCAGGAATGAAATGGCTATGACGCAAACAACAACGTAACTATCGAAAACACAACCAATGATCATGAACACTACTACTATAGTAAAGCACTAATAATGAGAATAATAACTACTATACCATATCATTAAAATCTGTTATTTAATCACTAGAATTAAATCAACAATACTACTATTAAATATCTATCAATTAAAAAAAAAAAAAAAGAGAGAGACGTGATAGGGATATATATAGGTTAAAAAAATTTGCCAAGGAATCTAGATTAACAAGCATTTCCCCTAATAAAAACCATCACATCCCATTAAATCAACACATTTTCCCATTAAATCCGCTCTTTATTTCGATAATCGATTCACTCATTTTCTGTTTATCATATTAATTTCATATTTAAAAATAATATTTTATTTCTCTATTATGCCCTTTCTTTAATTACAGCCATTAGATAAAACACAAAAATATACGGTTTAGATACCGGTTAACACAAAAATCACAAGCATCAACGAATCAACCCGGGAATGAAATGGCTATGACGCAAACAAGGAATATTGAAAACACTACCAATGATCAAGTCCACTACTACTATATTAAAACACTACTATTGAAAATAATAACTTGTATGCCATATCCTTAAAATCTTTTTTATGATCACTACAATTAAATCAACAATATTACTATTAAATGTCTATCAATCAAAAAGAGAGAGAGGTGATAGGGATAGATATAGATATAGATATAGATATAGGTTAAAAACAATTCTCAAGAAATCTTGATTAATAAGTATTTCTCCTAATAACAACCATCAAATCCCATTAAATCCGCTCTTTTTCGGTAATTAATCCACTCATTTTTTATAAATCATATTAATTTCATATTTTAAAAAATGACCTTTTATTTCCCTATTATTGTCTTTCTTTAATTATAGCCATTAGATAAAAAAAATATACAGTTTAGATACCAATTAGCATATGAAGTTAGCACCCTACCTTCTTCCTAGGAATAGATATAGAACAAACGTCACATCTCATTAAATCCACCCATTTTTCCATTAAATTTGCTCTTTTTTTATAATTAATCGATTCATTTTCCGTAAGTCATATTAATTTCATATGTAAAAAATATCTTTTATTCCCTATTATTGCCTTTCTTTAATTATAGTCATTAGATAAAAAAACAAATATATACATTTTGGATACCAGTTAGCATATGAAGTTAGCACTCTATCTTCTCCCTAGGAATGAGATGTCTTGCTAACTCTCTAAGGGGTTAGCATGGTGTCAACTACTTCCATCTTCGTTCCCTTCCCTTCTCTTCCATATAATTCAATGGCTAGTATTTATCTGATTAGGGAAATCATAATCCTATCCCATCCTGTCTTTTCCTTTTCTTCCGTTTCTTTTCCTTCTTACTAAAAAGATCCCACGATTGCCAAAAAAATCTTCTACGCCCTCTTAGCTTCCGCAACTTAGAGCAGCCGAAGAAGGCTGGAGCTCAGGCAGTTTGGAGTAGGAACAAGGAAACAACACGCCGACGATGTTACAGGAGGCAGTAATGCAATCAAATCAAGCGGCAGCCTGAACCCTTCTGCTCCGTCGCGGAATCCCACCAGCAAAATCTGCAGAGCTCTTCACTGAACATTTTATGGGACAACTCCTTTTTCATTACCTCCCATGGCTTTCCGAATTCCACATGTTTTTGCATGCCGAATACTTCGTGCTTTGGTTTGTTGTGATTTGATTTTCCTATTTCACATACACTTTGTAAATACTTCATGCGGAGACAATATCCGGTTTCAAAACCAAGTCAATAATTTGGTTAAGGGAAATTCCTTGCGGGGCTCAAGATAGGGTGCATAACCCATGTTATGCACCTATCAATAACTAAATTTGGACCCTTCATTTAGAAAATTCAGATCTAAAAGACATTTTTATTTTCCCTAACATTCTTAATCGGCTTATATCTTCTTCGTTTTAACTCGGATTTTAATTTTTTTTTTTTTTTGTTTGCACAGATGGAATGAGTTCATCGTACTCTACAAAATGAGATCTATTTTCAATATTTTTTTAGAAAAAAAATTATTGCCTCTCGGTACCAACTGCATACCATATGGTATCTTCTTCGTTTTTGAAAACATTTGCACAGAAGGGACAAGTTCATCATGATCTATTGGATCTACAAATTTCTGGGTGAACAAATTACAGGAACAAAAAATACCACACAATACCACCCTGGTACGGGTGGTATCTTGTGGTACACAATGTTAAAAGTCGTAAATGACAGTTAATATACTTCTGCTATCATGTATTCAACCATCCTACAGTCTTGGTTTGTTCATAACGCCATGGTACGCTTTTCAAACCATAGGTATGCTCTTATTTCAATACCGGTCGATACCATATGGTATAGACGGGTAAAAAATGGCTCAATTTTTTTTGTTCGAAAAATATATCAAAGTGGATATCATTTTGAAGATCTCAATTAATCTGATCTAACAGTGCAAAAAAAAAAAAATTAAAATTTGACTTAAAACAAGTGAGAAATCGTCCGTCAAAGATTAAGGATGAGAAAATTAAAGGCTTTCCAAAAGAGAGAGATGATAATGTCATGCTGATGTGTACGGGTTACTCATGGTTACTCACCATAAGGTTACTGACCTGATCCGTTCCCATTATTTGGGACATAGATTCGAGAACAAGTCATGTTGTTTACGGTGAAAGTGGTAACTGAAGGGGATTGTTGTTTGTTGATGTGGTAACAATTATACCAATACTTGTGGTTTACAACTATCATATCGGAACAGTAATTCTGATTGGAAACACTATTACTATCTCTATAATGTCTACTACATAGAATCAACTCAGGAATGAAATGGCTATGACACAAACAATGACTATTGAAAACACTACCAATGATCATGAACACTACTGCTATAATAAAGTACTACTATTGAGAATAATAACTACTGCACCATATCATTAAAATCTGTTATATAATCACTACAATTAAATCAACAATACTACTATTAATTTTCTATCAATTAAAAAGAGAGAGACGTGGATAGATATAGGTTTAAAAAAATTCCCAAGAAATCTGGATTAATAAGTATTTTCCCTGATAACAACCGTCACTTTCCATTAAATCCGCCCATATTACCATTAAAACCGCTCTTTTTAGTATTTAATCTACTCATTTTCCGTAAATCATAGAAAATGATCTTTTATTTCCCTATTATGCCCTTTCTTTAATTATAGCCACTAGATAAAGAAAACATAAATATACAATTTAGATACCATTTACGTATGAAGTTAGCACCCTATCTTCTCCCCACGTGTGGGGAGGACCACCAAAAATCGAGCCGAGAAAACACTGATTCTCCTGGAGCTGGAGGGGTTCGTAACTAAGCAGGGGAAATAGGTTCAGCTAGGTGATGGAGGGCTGTGGAGAGCACCAAAACTAGAAAAAATATGCGGCCGGAGGGATTTGAACTGTGTAGCTCATTTAACTATAATGCGGGTTTTCCGCTAGAAAACGGGGCGTTGCCCATGTCCCAATTTCCACAAAACTGAATTTTGTTGTCTTCCCGCAACTGCCTATTTATTGTCAAATTACTTTTTCAGCAAAAAAGCAGAATGAGTAAGCACGTTTTTTATCATATGTTTCCTAATTCTTGTTCGGACAACTAAAAACAGGAAACGAAATGGGAAGTGAATGGGGATGTCACGAGTTTTGGAAATCTAGAGTAGATTACTTGCTTGTCAAACAACCTCTTAACAGTTTGTTTTGTATGTCCTTTAGTTCCCCATATCACGAGCCAGATACATACCAGGAATAATATTTCTTCTCGTCTGTACGTAAATATTTACAGAGCCGAGACCAAGTTTCCCGGAAAATATTCAACCTTTGGTAATGCTGACCTAATATCCTGTCTATATGTAACCTTCCTTACAAAAACACCAAGCTACCCTTCCCTTCTTGTAAAAGAATCTTGTCGGGTTAACGTATAGTTTACATCTGCAGGTGCTTCATCCTCACTACTTGTCGTTGCTTTTGCTTTTGCGCAAAGAAAGAAGAATGAGGAAATGTATATGGTAACATGCCAGAGACTGCACGAAACAAAGGAACAACTCATATTTAGCAGACCTCTTTTTGAGAAGTAGAAAAAAGAAGAAGTGATATGTGCATTGTTGTAGTTTTCCTTACCTGTGCCACATCCAGTAGCTTTCACTGCTTTCGAGTTTCCAGCTTGTTGCTGCCATGGCCAAGGCAACAAATCCTGCAACTAGAAATCCCCACCTAAATCGTCTCAACACTGTCTTGATCAAGTTGTCACACCATCTCCTCATGGTTTGCCATCTGTACTCATCAACATTAGGGTTTCACGATCCCTAACTCAGTCCAATGATCAATAAGTATGTGTTTCTCTCAACTGTTACAATAACTTTTCCACAACCCAAAAGCAAAAGCCGGGGGAAGCTCTCCAAACCAGACTTTTGGGAAAATACTAAAAGCACTTTGTTATACATAAATGCAAAAACTCTAATTTGGCGCATGCACTTTGTAATTCAGCAGAGATGGACCAACAATCTTTTTTATTATTATTACTCAAATGAGATGATTGTAAGCTTTTTACAGCTACCTTAATAAAATGTTCCAGATGAAGTATCCAAAAGAAAGAACAAAAAAGCTCTGGTTTGGAACTTCTACAAAAACAATGCTTAAGATAAACTTTACAATGTCTGTCCTTTTAAACAAGACGTATCTTCTTCTAATTCCGTTATTTCAACTAAATTAGTTAATATTTATAGAAATAAGTACAACTAACAATTCTTGTTATATTAATATTTTTGTTTTTATTTTAACATATGAAGTAATATGTTAAAAAAATAAAAACTCACATAATACAATCTTTCAATTGATAAATCAAAACAAATAAACTAAGATTGGTTAAAAAAGAATATATTCAATCATATGTGAGATTGAGTTGAAACTACTGAGCCAAACTCTCATTACAACACGACATTTCTAAGCTATAAGAGTAGATTAGACTCAATGGCCAATGATACCTTAGATTCTAAAATAGGTTTCTACCAAAAAAAAATATATTCTAATATAGGACTCTATGCAATAACATATTTATTAAAATAGTTGGAAAACTCATAAAGATTATCAACATATAAGAATTTGAAAACGAAAAATACATTGTCCGAATACATGTGATCAAAATACGTGTGATTAGTTGTTCTCTACTTGAATAGTCAGAAACCTAATAAAAATTGTTGACTAAATGAAATTGCCCTTAAAATTTGAAAGAATTAAAAGAAACAATTAATGAAACCCTAAACCAATGTTTTATATACCAGTTCAAACTGGAAATAGAATACACGTGATTTGAATATGCGTGTGATTAGCCGGCTTGTAGTTAAATAGTCGAAAACTCAAAAAATTTGTTATAGATAGGAATTCTTTGACAAACAAATCTAAGAAAACATGGAGAAGAATCAAGAAGCATAAGAAAAACATCATCGTTAGCCAATGTTCAAGAAGACGCGATTAATCTCTCGCCTAGGCGCGATTAATAGCTGGGCAGGAGAAAATCGTCCCGCCTAGCCCTGGGCGATTGATCCAGGCACTTAGGCACTCGGAGGCGCGTTTTCACTCTGGTTGGCGACGCCCAGAACAACTAATAAAGGGGGAAAGTGTAGCCTTTTTGTGAAAATCCTAAACCCTATTCTATTTCTCATTTCTATTCAACCAGCCGCTCCCCCTCATCGACCAGCAATGAGATCCCTCCTCATGGTTGGCGACTTGGGATGTTTGGGATTGTGGAAATGGGTCGTATGTGAATATGAATGGATGAATAATGATATGACGACTTGGATTTTTGTGGAATATGGCTTATCTATCATTTTTTTTCAACGTTTAATCTCGCCTAGGGAACGATTAATCGGTCTGGGCGCTGGGCGGTGCCTCCTCGCCTAGATAGCGCCTAGCGTCTTCTTGAACATTGTCGTTAGCATATATGTGTGACCTGAATATGCTTGATATATTTGTGGAAAAAATCTAACAAACATGGAGAAGAATAGCCATGCTCCATGAAATTGTACCCGAAATCGCACCGGAAAGTTCAGTGATAAGGTATTGTATAGTAAAATCGTGGTGTAACCATAGTTCAACCGTTAGTACCGTTAAATACCACCTACCAATTTAGCCTTCGATACTGGTCCTTTATGGTTGAACCGCCAGTAAGTCCATCAAGAAGCATAAATAAAATTAAAAAAAAAACTAAAGAAAAATGGAAAATGAAAGAAAACCTGACCAGTAAGAAGCTCTCACAGTTAGCCTTTTGGATTATACCCTAAAATTTGGGTTATTTACGATTGGACCGCTTAATGAATAGTAACCATAGATAATGTTGTATCTATATTCTCATTTTTGTATTTTTGTCATTTTAGATCACTAGTGATTCTAAACAACTACTTCTATGTTTTCCAAACAGATAGCTGAAGCATTTTTCAAACCGGATTCTCTAAAGCTCCAACTATAAGCTACGGCGGGCCAAACAACCCATTAGCCACCACCATCCACTGCATTATCAGGAATACTAATGCATAACTAGACACGGAAATGCCCTCACCTGTTATCTGTGTTCCACCAGTAAGTCGAAGGGAAGGCAAATGACCTGAAGTTGGTTGAGAACTCTATCAACCATCCAACAAAAAGAGCAAGGGTTCCAATTGCTATAACGAGGACAATGTTGGAAGGCCTGCAGAATTTTACTGATGTTATAAATGCTTCAGAACATTTCAGTTCATAAGAGATACTATCGTAAGAATTTTAGCCTTATGTAGTATTAGCTGGATAGACCTCGTTGCTTTAGTTATGGCCATGAGGGCAGTGAGGATGGCAACAACTGTGTGGATTGTCCTCTTGAAAACTTCATCAATGGTAGCTAGGTACACAAAAGTGCTAGCTACAGCCATGAACGAGAGCCAAAAGTCCATGAACTGAAATGTTGACCCAATAGAGGTAAATCCATCAGCAAATTGAAAACAATGAGAAATTACAAGGACATATATTCCGAGAGCTAAGGATAATTGAATATACCTGTAAGACATTATATGATAGTGCGCACCACGTGCCAACATCACATGCATGATACAACCCACTTGAAATTCCACTAGACGTAAACAAGACCCACTCTGCAAAAGCCTACAAAGGACAAATGATTTTGTTTCAGCAGCTAGCAAACTAAGCAAGGATTCAAAAAATGCAGAAAGCTAAATCTTGTAGAAGGGACACCGGATTATTGGCCAAATAAGCCTCTTTGATCAAGAAAGAAGGACGTCAAATAACAATATCAGACGGCACATTTTCTGCTGGCTTTTATGCATAAAGTGAATTTCAGATCATGAGATAGAAACTTGAGTTCTGGTTGAAAGATATAATGTGAATGGCAAAATAATTGGGTAGATTTTGAATATGATCCTAGCATTTAAATTGCTCCATCAAAGGACAGCTTGGACAGTTTTTAACTTCCCATTAGGAATTTAAGGGAATAAAAATTACCTTTTGCCGCAGAGCCCAAATTGCAGGAAATACAGCAGCAGCATTGGATGCAATTAGTGCTATTGACTGGCGAACATGCCCTGAAAAAGTTCCATCCACCTGATTAACTGAGAAGATGCTTTGGATAGTTCAATAAATAATATTGAAACAATCTTCAGGAACATGCCTATCTTCCTTTTGGATCAAGCACGGATTTTTACATGAATGAATCAGCCCCCAATAGTTCATAATCAGTAGCTAAGAACCAGTGTGTAAGATGAAAGAACAAGTATGAAACATGGATAGACATTAATGAAAACGAAAACATTAACCTGGCCCGACTCACCTTCATGTGACACAATTTCAATGCCACAGTCAAACCCTCCATGTGTTCGATCACAAGAACAGAAGCTGTAAAAGGGAAACAAAGGAAACAGAAGGAAAACCCCTTGTTACAGAGATAAAAAGAAAAAAACAAAAGTAAGTGATTTATATACTAGCCAGACATGTCAAAAGGCTTCAGGCTGAACTCCGCACCTATATGATGTCAATCCACTGGCATCCAGAGCCACTTTGCACTCCCCATGGGAAGAGCATTTTTTCGGGCATCTCTCGACTGAAACAGACATGAGAGTCTGATCACTTGACGTGTTGCTGGTGGAGATATCTGAATGCCTTAATCCGAACGTCCAAATCCCTTCTTTAACATATAGGATGTAGAAATCAACCTTCTGTTCACTTGAATCATACAGCATGAAGAACATGGAACTGTTGCTGTTGCTCGTGGCATTAGCATAATAGTAGTCCCAACTTTCCAGAGACGGCGATCCACCAACTTTAGCATAAATCTCGTAGTTTATCTTTGTCTTCGATGTTATATGTATATGAATATTTCCTCCAGCAGCACCACGAGGTACATTCAACAAAAAATAAGTCCAAAGGTTTTTGGTTTCTACAGTGCGGGAGAACTTGTCTGAAAGGGGCTCAAGGGGAAAATTTACGGATTCAGAAGACACTGGTCCACTGACTGGCAAAAAATATGATTCAAAGGGGATGGAATCCTTCCTAATAACTGTCTGCAGAAAATAGTATCATAGTGTGATCGGAAAATGTTTATAGGTGAAAAAATGTTCTCTTTGTCTCTAATAAAACAAATTCTTAAGACCTATTATTGATATATTCCACATTGCATAAAGATGACAAGGTGAAGATAAAACCCGACTATGAATACATTACTAACTCTTAACTAAATATCACAGATCCAATGACATAAGGATATACATCTGACCATGATTGATGTTAAATTATTTAGATCAAACACGTTTTGCTTCTATCATTCTTACCTTTCTCTTTTAGGCCATTATACACCTCAAAGAAACATTTTTAGCAAATGAAAAATCATGCCCACTGAGGAATTCGATTCCATTGGATCGAAAGCAAATGATGCATTCCTTATGCCAATAAAAAACAAATTTTACAGAAGCAGTGTACTCTAGAGAAATAAAAAGATGCATAAATATTGCATTTTCACCGTGTTTTACATAACTTATTCCTCGAGTTAATGTATATATGCCAAGTTAACATTATTCAACCTGAAAAACCTGCTAATAAAATAGATTAATTATTCACTGAATAACGTCAAGTTGGAGGGCACGGCCGTCTCTAGAGTCTAAATTGAAACATTCCATGCTTCATAATCATTAGGTCTAGTTGAAGAGCTTACCTCCAGAGCGTGTCTCTCAAAGGTACAGTTGAATCCAGCCTTCCCTGATGGACACTCAAACACTTGCCCGGTAACAGAATAGCAGATCCGTGTTTCATTTCGCATTGCTCCAGGATTAGTAGGTACGATGGCGAAAAACCACCGGCCAAGATTTGGTGAGTTAATTACTAAGGGAGCTTTATTCAAGTCAGAAGAATAATCATGCAGCGCAACTGACGGCATTGCACCATGCCGAGCATAACACATCAAGGGAATGCTACTAACATTCACATTGTCATTTGAGTTAACACTGACGTTTCTTGCAGTTATAGTCAATTGTTCTGGCAGATCCATCACATCTAACGAATAAACTTTCTGTTCATCCACTCCATGGCAAGAAATCCCAGAGTCACCACAAGATATCACACTTTGAGATGTAGTGAAGTCCACATTTGAAAGACTTGCAGCACGGCTATGGTGGTCAAACAAAGAACATGAAAGTGGGTACATTGTTTGATTGCAATATTGACCCCATATTGTGGAAGTCATGCACCCATCGACACTGATGTTGGCACTAAAGGAGTAATCTGAACTGCGAACAATCTACAAACGTCAAAGGATTCGTCAGTTTTCAACACAGGTGTGATGTAATGAGGATATTCAGGAATTGGAGCCCCCTACATCAGTGTATAGAAACGAGAAGAATATAGACCACAGATGCGATGGTATCAAGTAGGATGACATGAGAAAGAAAAATAAGGAAATGTACATCTATTTTGAGATAACTCTTGTTAAATCTCCAAATTTACTTTCATTGTTAAACAAGTGTCGAAGTACTATTGATCATCAAACTATTCTCAATGTTCAGATTATTTTATATGGCCAGAGATAGCACGCTTGTTCCACTCCATACTTTCAAATTTATGGCCCTTGAAAGAAGAAATTGCTCCTGTGAACAATAAAATGAGCAAGAAACCAATTCTACTTTATGGACTTAAATCTGCTGGAGCAATCTGCCTAATCTAGTTGAGCATAATAAGCACACTTGAGAAACATAATTAAGTGAGAATGCAGGTTATTTACATATTACTCACTAGTTCAAATGAAATGTACCATTTTAGATTGCGTCCTGGTTGGCCCAATGCCATTGAATACACCTAGATACCAGACTCCAGGAGGTACCTAGAAAAACAAACTCATTAGTTTTATCCTGCTATGCTGTTACCCGACAGAAACACTAGAACGAGCTAAGAAGTAAGAAATTCACTCTTGTAGGAAGCCATTGAACAGAAAATATCAACATGAGAAATATAAGTGAAAATTGATAACAGAAGCCAGTATAAAAGCTACAGTTCAGCTAGAAAAAGTCAAAAAACGATGGACAAAACTTAAACTTAAAAATTGGCATTTACCATTTGGCACAAATGGCCAATGGAAGAAAATATAACAGACCTGCTCATTTGTCACCATCAAGGTGAGGTTTTTCTGCATTAGGAAGCAGTCCACATTCTGAGAGCCTTGAATCTTTTCAAATGCTGCACTAGATAGAGGACCTTACAGTTCCAAAGGAGGATCCATTGTCAGTCAGTTGTCAAATGAGTGAAGGCATGGAAATGGTACATAAGTGAAACAAATCTGGAAGTTGATCAGTTGTGCCAAGGCAGTAAGATAAGATAATTTTGAATAATGATGAATTGGTAGTTTTGACTACTAAAGAGCATTTTCTCATGAACTCTGCAAGAACTTCAAACTAAACAGGAAGGTAGCGTACAAGAAGGATGCATAAAACGACTGAGAACCATCCAATTTATGCCTCACCTAATTCTATGAGAGAACTGTTTAAGACATCTGGGAGAGGGGGACTACCATCTCTGAGGCAGAGAATCGGAGTAGTGCTTTTAGATGATATGGCCTTACTACCTGCATCCTACAAAAGTTTGAAACATAATAAGCAAGAAAAGACGAGGCACTGACAACAACATTCGTTTAAGGGATTCCCTGCCACCATTGCGTGACGAGACGAACACAACAATTGCATCACGTACTTGGAGTGGAAGGCATGGCATTAAGAAACTCCAAAAGCAATTAGACTACCCTATTACGTCTCAAGAAACAATGAGAGAGAAAATTGACTACTTTTTAAAAGAAGACTTACAACATCCACGTCTGACACCAAGGCAATGGAAACAGAAGAGAACCATGGTGGCAATTCAACTGAAAGAACAAAGACACACAATGACACAAAAGAGCAAAGAATTTCATGTCAGAAAGGAATATATAAGCTACTAAGCTTCAAGTTAAACATATAATACTGGGAAAAACAAACCCAGTGTAGGGTTGCTCTGGAAAAAGGGCAATAACTAAGCAAGTTATGCAATTCCGGAGACAATATACAAGCAACAATGACAAAATATACTTCACAACTCATAGTAATAGATTCAGCAAAGCTTCGAGAATAAACTGCATAAAAAAAGAGGTAGGCGTTGACCTTCAAAAGGACATTGAAATATTTCTGAAACCCAATTCCCAGGACCAAGGTCAACTCTTAGATTAATTAAGAACATAAGCTGCAATACTATATTGATTATTATACAACATCATACATATAAAAAAAAACACAACTACATATTCCTGATTTATTCTTCACGTTCTACAACTCAATCACAGCATCAATATTCAGAATAACAGAACTGAAATGACACTACCATAGCGCAACTCCAATTAACAATCATGGTGCTAATGCCGAGAAACCCGCGATCACCCTCCATTTCCAATCACCAATAAACAACAAAATCCCCTAACTGATCCTAAATTGAATGAAATAAAGCATTTTGATCGCAAAGTAATGGCCATAGCCGCCAATAAACCCCAGAGAAAGCCTCAAACTTGCCGCTCAATCGGCCAAATGCTCAGGTGGGTTATTTTGGCTTGGATTCTAGCTTTTCGAGGCGGACTAGTATGGCCAAGTATAATAACTGGTGATAGTATGACAGACCTCTAATATACCGCAAGTCATAAGGCTTGACCCGAGTTTGAGGATATCGCAGACTGGAAACAGTTAAGGTATCTGAGAAACCCAGCTGCTGGCCGCTTATGGACTGCGAGAAAGTCGTGAATATACATGGCGATGAAGCAAGTAGCAACATAAGGCAGCTGCTTAGTAGGATCGAGCGACAGCAAGAGCGGCAGAGAACCCAATTCCCTGCCATTTTTATCCCCTACTGTGTTACTTTGGTTTTGACAGTTCTTTTATGATAGAGAAGAGAAGCGGCAGAGGGGGAGGAGGGATGGAATGGGAATGAATGTAGAAATATCACTCTTTCAGTCTTTCTTATAAGAGATTAAAACCCTTAACTATTCATTTCCCATATAAGAAAAGATCAGATTCTGGGAGCACAATAAATGTTACGTTCAACCTGTGCAAACCATATAAAAAAAGTTCCGAAAAAATTAGGCTTTCGTTTGAGAAGGCGTATAATTTGTTAACACTTCTTATACTATTTTATCTAATAAAAAATTAAATAAAATATATTTTGTCAATGGGAAACTAGGGAAAGGAAAGGAGACGGCGATCGTGTGATTTTCTTTTCTTTCTTTCCTACGGCTCTGGACCAGATAATATCTAAATATGTACCTTTTCGTTTAAGTATGTCCAGAAATTCAAATTTAAGGTTGGAGAATTAAAGATATCTTTTTTTTTTTGTTTTCTTTAATCGGCTCATATTTTCTTCGTTTTAACTCGGATTTATTTATTTTTCTACTTTGCACAGATGGAACGAGTTCATTGTGCTCTACAAAATGAGATCCATTTTCAATATTTTTTTAAAAAAAAATTGCATGCCTCTCGTTACCAACTACATACCATATGGTATCTTCTTCGTTTTTAAGTCGTTTTTTAAATTTTTTGCACAAGACCAAAATGAGTTCATCATGATCTATTGGATTTACAAATTTCTAGATGAATGATTCGGGCCCAATTGTACACTTTTTATCCCTGTTTCGCTTTGATGTTTGTTGCAGTTGAACTCCAAAAGGGGTGGTTTTACGCGAGGTTTTCCTGTGTTTCAGATCCTAACAGGTGAAACCAACTCCGGAGTCGAAAGTTGGAAGGAAAGAAGCAAAGACCGGGCAAAGAGGAGGAGACAACTGCAGTACACGGTCTGCCATGGGTGTTCATGGTCTTATAGGACCGTGAACTGGAGCCACAATCCGTGAGCCAAGGAGCGTCCAAAGAGGGTTTTGAGGTTACAGACGCCAAGAACGTAAGCCTCAGACCGTGAACCCGACCAAGAATGTGAAGTGGTGCGTTTTGGTTCAGACATCGTGTTCACGGACGCGTTTCGATGTTCATGGTTGTCAACTCAGGCCTTGAACTGGGCTCGATCTCAGTTTAAAGAGTGGTAAACTTCTTCTTCTTCAGATTTTAAAGTGAGAAAGTGACAAACCAAAGAAGAGGAGAAGCTAGGGTTTCATCTCCAAACAAGGATTTGGGAATTCCTTCCCCAAAGGAGGATCTCTTCAACACAAGGAGCAAGGCTTTCATCTTCATGATGGTTTTCCTTTCCCTTTATTGTGTTTTCCCTTCTCCTAGCATGGAGTAGTCCCTTCTTTCACTTGGGTGTTTGTAAACTCTAGCTACAATCATGTGAATGCTTGTAAGAATTGAATGATTTGTGTGTGGTTTTGTTTAATGTGAATGTGGAGGTTTTTTTCATGATGATTGTGTGTTCTTTGTTGACCTAGTTTAGAGAAGAGACCTCATTAGGTTAAGAGGCTCAATTAGAGATGGGTGTTCTTGAACATTGCATGCCTCCTAGGCTAGTTTAGAGAGGAAACCTCCTTTATCAAAAGATTGAGCTGGGTTTCCTTGGGCATTCAAAGCCTCCTAGACTACTTTAGAGTGAACCCTCCTTAACCTAAGAGGCTCTATTAGAGATGGGTTTCTATGGTCATTTCATGCCTCCTATCCTAGGTTAATTGAGGGAAAACCTCCTATTTCGTGTTAGCACTTAGGCTTTGCTTGTGGGTGGCCGTCCGAACACCAGTTCGAGGGTGAAGTCTAACCATTCCTTAGTCAATAGGTTGAGAGGCTCGCATTAGCGGCTTGGATCATATCCCATTTCCTCAACCTACAGACTAAGAGGGTAACCATGGTTACTTGTTAGACTTCCCTGCGGTTTATGATCCCCTAGCCACACATGGTCGTTCGATTCTTCAAGTTGTAATTGTTAGTTAGGGGGAGCAACACCCAGGTGAAGCCTTCTCAATTAGTGTCAAATCCATTTTACCTTTGGAAAGTACTTTTGTTTTGGACCTTTGTCTTCACCAAAAACTAATCCGCTAGATAATGTTTCAAACAGTCGAAGTAGCGATACATGGGCCGGCCTGGGTCGATATTTAAACATACTTTTCCTATATTGCACCCATCTAAGGTTCATACTTGGGCCTTAGGTGGGATTTTATTGTGATAGTCAGAGCGAGTCAGGGAACAAAAGACATGAACAAAAAATACCACACAATATCACGTTGGTACAGGGTGGTATCTTGTCGTACACAATGTTGAAAGTCGTAAATGACACTTCTACTATCATGTATTCAACCATCCTACAGTCTTGTTATGTTCATACCACCATGGTATGCTTTATACCATATGATATGCTCTTATTTCAATACCAGTCAATACCATATGGTATAGACTGGTAAAAAATGGATCAATTTTTTGTTCCAAAAATATATCAAAATGGATATCATTTTGAAGAGACAATTAACCTGATCTAACTGTGCAAAAAAATTAAATTCCGACTTAAAGCGAGTGAGAAATTGTCTGTCAAATATTAATGGGTAAAAATTAAAGATTTTAAAGGAGAGAGAAGGGGCACTGATGTGGCGAATGGTGATTGGGTTATGCATGGTTACTGACCGGATCTGCTCCCTTCTGGATTGGTAATCATTTTTATATTTCGCAAATCGCAACAACTCTCCAAGTGAAAAAATAGTAATTTGCTTTTGTGTCTTAATTTAATTTTTCCCCCCACTTATTCTAGTGGATGGTTGATCACTATTCATGGACGTTGCATAACTCAAGGTTATGCAACTGTGCCTAACTATATAAGGATCGCTAGATATGGACTTGGGTGATAGTGCGACGGGGGTTGATGCGGGGTGAAGCAGGGGTAATTTTGTCTATTTTGTTTCTTTCCCTCTCTGTTTCTTTTCTGTTCTGTATATAAGGTGAGCTGGATTGAGGGGAGAGAGCGAGATTGAATTATGGATTTTCTCCTTCAATCTCGCTTATTTCTTTCTCAGCAAATCGTGGACGGCGAGAATAATGGTACTTACCTTAATCGCCAGTTATTTCTGGTTAGATTTTAGCTTCAGCTTATATCAATGTGTGTATACTTGTGTAGAATAGATGCTTTATTATTAGATCATCAATGATATATACCATTGATAACACCTAAAATAGGTGTTATTTAGCCATCATGCTCGAGGCACTTGCGTGCTAAATCATCGTGTTAGGCCACATATCAAGCTAGTTTAGGCCTATTTTCGTTCCTATTTGCAAAACATCCATTTTGGCATGGGTTCATGGGAAATTGACCCCCATTTTTTCGCATTTTATGCTTTTTTCAGTGTTTGTAATGAAATTTCCAGGTCTTATATTCCTCTACGATTGATCTGGAATTGATTGGAGTTCATTCGATCACGATTAGGAAACACAAGAGCAAGAAGGGAAGGAAAAGAACATGTCACGGCCATGTCACGACGTGGCCAGGAGGTGACCATGTTCACGGTCGTGAACTTCGGCAGGCAGCCAAAAAGAGGGCAGAAGGTCTCAACACTTGACTCGCAGCCAAGGAGCTTTTCAACCGAGAAAAAGATCGTGATTGAAACTCAAAGATCGCAGTCGTGATCTCATGATGGATGTCATGATCTCGGAACACGAAGATGATGACAAGACGCAAAGTTTCATGCGATTATGCGCCGTTTAAGCCTAAACACGGCCTAGTCACGCCTAGGGAATGCCTTGAGGCCGTGATCTGCACCAGAACTCTATAAATACCCCATTTTCTACACTTGGCGAATTAGAGTCAAAATAAAGTGAGAAATTAGGGTTTTGGGTAGTTTTCAGAGATGGAAACACCTTGAGGAGCTTGGGAAAGGTCAAATCCATCAAGGATCAAGGAGGAATGTGCAATCCAAGGAAAAGAAGATTATTCCAAGCATTTCCCCTATTCTTAGTTTGTATTTCATTTTTCTATCTATGAGTTGAATACCAATAACTGTTTAGGGAGATGAACCCTAGCTTAGAATTTGTGTATGGGTCATATGTAAGCATAATTGTAAGCCTATTTATCTATGGCTACTGATGTTTGTGCATAATAATCTCTTGCTTGATTGTGATTAGTTTGTTCTTAACCTAGGTGAGAGTTACATCCCCTTAGGTCAAGATTAGCATAAACATCAATTGGTGTGGGATTGTTTGTATCCCATTTGCCTTAGTTGCAACCTATATAATAGGGAAATTATCAGTGTCTTCATATTAATTTATGGTATAATTGGGTTTAACTAGGATGCTTAATGCTTCTAATTAGGGTTTAGATGTGGGTGAATGATTCTTACATTGATTGGTTGACCTAGAGATCTAGCTAGAGGTCGAGGTGACCATCCCCTTCTAGTTAGATTTTCACCTAGTTGATGCTTGTCGAGTAAGTGTGTGACCATCGACTTCCCCGACTTGTGTGTGGATGGATATAAGTCGTTTAGAGGAGGTAGAACCACATGCCCAGTTATGTAGATACTTGGTCCTAACTACCACATTGGCAATCGATGACCAAGTATAACCGACGACCGGGTGTAGAATAGGGTAAGCAAGCAATAAAAATTTGTTGTACCATAGGGCTCATAGGTGTACCCTACTTCAGGGTTTAGGTTTCATTTTCTAGCCAACATAGAATAGGGATTATGAAAACTAATCTAACTAACCTATATAATTACAAGTGTGAGCCTTCTTAGGTCTGAACCCCCTAGTTCTATCATTCAAATCATGGTTGAGTATTATCCTAGCTTTACCGACTCGATTTCATGTACCAAATATGATCTAGGCTCCCTCAGGTGTCGACCCAGAATGGCGTAGCGGTGGATGGTAGTGCTCTATTCAAACTAGGGTTTCCTATACCGTTAAGATATCCACTAAATCGACTCCCCCGGGAGTTACCCGGAACGATGCAAGAAAATAGCGACCCGAGGACGCCAATAATGGGGTCTAAGGGGATTAACTCCCTCCTAGGTCA